GGCGGGTCGAGAGGTCCTGATGCTTGAGGCGCCGCTGGACCCATCGCGCGAGGGTTGGTCCGTTATCAACCAGAAGGAGTTTATCGATGCATTGCCCTACATAGACGACGACTATGGAGATCCCAAGGTGAAGGCGGAAGTCGACACGCTCGTCGAGGCCGAAATGCGCAAGAGCGTCAAGAAGCCCGCCGATTTCCTCAAGGATCTCCCTCCTCTTCTCAACTTCGACTTCGAGGTAGGACAGTTACCTATTTGTCTTTCGTTAGTCTAGCTCTGGTGTCAAATAGGTTGCGGAAACCTTAAGAACCTTAAACTATGCTTGATTTGAAGTGGATAGGAAATATTATGTTTCACGCAATTACATTTTGACAGTTTAGTTTTGTTGCAATTCATAAGAAATTGATTATACCAAGGAAATTAGATCATATGTTTATTTTTTTCTTGATATTTAGCTTATCCCAGTGAAAGGCTCAAGTAAAATTGAAGTGTCAGCAACATTTGATTGTGTTCATTCTTAAATTTATTGTTCTTAAAACCAAACCAAAAAGAGTTTTTTCTTTTCTGCTCAATTTATCTCTAAATCGAACAAGTGGGTTAAAGCTTGTTTCAATCAAATTCCTTTTCATTTCCTCTCTTTCAATTCCGTCAAAGCAAACCGAGCCTTAGACTTCCAGCTATAAGTTTGAAGAAAAGAGAATCAAGGCTTTGGATTCCAGGTTTTCTTTATTGCATTGGAGATTTCAGGGCATAATTGCTTCTGCTGCTTGAAAAATGAACTCAGTCAGGGATTTGTGATAGCCTTAGACTCCCAAGAAGCATGTCGTTGAATTTTTTAAATGTAGGCCTCTATTTCTTTGATTGGTAACTGCTAATCCATTTGTTTTCCTTCTTGTCATATTTCTTTAGAGTGTTGAATTACAAGATTGATAAGGAAAACAAATTATTATTTTTAGATGAAACAAGCCCAGTTAATGAACATAGGATACATCAACAAATTATGTTTTGTGCCTGTGTGTCGCTATGTCTATCCTCATGATGTTATTGTATTACAGTTATATGTGAAGGTTATCCCTACGTTGTGTTGTCTTATAATGACATTCTATGCATGCTGCTTCACTTGTAAAAAGAAATAGCACATATATCGATTTAGTATCATATGCATATCATGCATTTGGTTCATATCTTATATTACACATTTGTATTGAAGTAGCTTCTAGGATTTGATTTAGTGACAAAGACCATAAGAAAGTTAGAGAAAACACTATACCATTATAAGCAAGTAATAGATGTGTTTTCATTAAAAAAATCATGAACATAATCTTTAATATAATTCGTATATGTAAAACTTTACAATCCTATGGAAATATATGATTAAATTGTGCAGAAAGTAACATTCAAGTTACATGAAATATTGTTACTCTATAAAAATGTAATAGAGTAAATATGCTTAAAAGGAGATTTTTTTACTGTGATAAAACCAAAGATAAAGTAGAGGGGGTGGGTTGAGTTACTTCTTTCAAAGGTAAATGCCAGACACCTTTTTTATTATGCTCCATGGTTTAAAATTGCGCAATATGAGGCTCGCCTTGAGGCCCGCCTTTGCGTAATTCCAGTAAAAAACGCCTCGATGCTTACGCCTCGAGTTTTTTTAATGAGGCTTGCGCCTCAACTTGGTTGAGGCCCGCCTCGCATCACTGACATGATGCTTACGCCTCACGCTATATATATTAAAACTTACATAAATCTTAAAGTAAATGCTCGACATTGGACTCTATAGGAGAGGAGGAAGGGGAGAGAGCAGTTCACCATAATGATGATTCAAATGAAGAACTCTTAGTGATGACAGTGCTGATGACTTATGAGTTCTTATGTTATATGTCATTGCTATTTATTTTTGGAAATTCGAATTATATGCTAATGAAAAGAATACTGGGATTTCAGAAAGATAGAATTTTGAGTTGAACTATATTTAATGCTGTCTTATTATTGAGATATTTTGATTTCACTTCATATCTTATGCCTTTTTATGTTTTATATTATTCACTCATTAGTATATAAAAAATTTATGATTTTATGTTTACGCAATCTTTTGATTTTGAGGCTTACGCCTCGCCTCACGAATGAAAAACGCCTCAATACCTGAATAAGCAATTTTAAACATTGAATATGCTCGTCATTTGTTGAGTGTATATGAGGCATATTTGCGTATGACCTGGACACATGACTCCTAGAATTCTCCGTTCTTTCTAGATGGATGCATTGTCTTAATTAAAATTATTAGGTGCTTCATTTAAATGATAACAACCTTGTTTGTTTTATTACTTGTAAATATAAGTTTCGATTGAGCTTTGCACTATTATATTTCAGTTCAAACATTATAAAAGTATTAATGGCTTTCCAGAATCACCCCATGCTTGCTAGAGAGTATGACCGTGTAAGAGCTGGCAAGCCTCCTGCAACTTTGGAGATGTCACGTTATGGTTTAGAGCCACCTCCATTGAATAAACGTAATGATGTGACTGCTTGGAGGCAAGCTGTAAGAAATGGTGAAAGTCTAGTGCAACATCAAATCATACGGTGAGCTTTTTCTACAGAGCTTTTTAATGATTATTAATTCTTATAATGCTGTCCTCATGGTTGTCATTTCTGTGAATTTTGTGACTCTAGTAAGTTATGTACTTGTTGAAAGGATAGCATACTCTTTTGAACGTAGCTTTGTTTCTTGGATGACCATGGTTTGGTTATATTTTGTCTGCTTAAGTCTTTGTTGTTTTACTTAGGAGTATATGATGTCCATGATCGAACTGGTCTACTACCACCTTTTCTAATATCCTTTGATGGACCACGCTTAGAAATTGAGCCTGAACTGCTTTTACTCATTATTCTTTTCTCCAGCAAAATTCCAGCCTAGGGAGGTTCTACGATATTTGTAGGCTTATTTTTTGAAGGGTTTACACTGAATAAAAAATGGGGACAGTAGCAAGGAGATGATTGACTTGTAGGGTGATGGTGAGAGGCGAGTAGAAAGAAAAACTGAAAAAGGATACATAAATACGTCTGGTGCTATGATGTGCTATGTTATACTGTGCTTTCAAGTAGATTGGATGATTGCTTGGTAAAATTACTAGTATTTGTTGTCTGAATAGTTGTGATGAATTTTTGACAAAAACAATTGTGGTATAAAATGACTTGGTTAAATGACACGAAGTAGACATAATTATTTGTTAACAAATAATATTAATTATATTTATGTTAAAAATTACTTTTGAAATTAATATATTAATAATTTATCTATGAATAAAATTAAGCTTAATTAAAATTATATAGTAATTTATACAATAATAATAAGCCTTTTTTAATGAAAGAAACTTTGTAACATTCATCCATAAAAAGCACCTTAAATGATAATTGAGAATATAATACGTAATAGTTGAGGTTTTTTTGGTAATATCAAAATAGTTTAGGGGTATTTTTATAATGACAACGCATTTTTAGAATGCATGTTTAGCTATTCCATAACCCCTATTTTTAGCTTTTGCATTCTAGTAACTTTTTCCGACAACTATTAATCTAACTTATAGTTAATGCTTAAAAATTGATTTTAGTATCTTAAAACACATTATTGATTGAGGCATTAGGTACAAGGCTTTGGATGAAGTTTGCTTACTGTAGGAACTTGGTTGCAATGGAGATTTTCATTGATAAAGCTGCTAAATTTTTAGAATCAAATGTGAAATTGTTCTGGATAATCAGCTCAATGAGGCCTTCAAATTATTGAGGTATCAATTGCCTAGTAGAATGGTTGTGGTTTTGACTAGTCACAAGATTTTGAGCTTGTCTAAGCGCCATTCTTTGTTACACTAGCCAAATTTGGGGCTTCTTTTCGTCATGATATTTGTGTTGACAAACTATGATGTGAACATGGTATAGAAAATCCATAGTGAGAATTTGTTGATTACGAAGCAATTGACCCTTTTTTGTAGGATATGTAAAATCAGGCTACTGTGCAAACATAAAAAATGGATTTGATTGCTTTGTGAAAGAGCTTTATATGTGCTGCGAACTACCAAATGGGTTAAATGTCCATTTTTAATGTGTTAATTTGTAGAAACTTGTTTTCTTATTTCTTAACCAGTGTTTTGTTAAGATGGAAAATGGAAATCAGAAGTTGCAATGACAGTTTGTATTCAATTGTGCCTCGTTATGTTTGGTGTAAAATAGGTGGAGGCATGTAGACTTATGAATGAGTATATCTTAAAACCTCCTTATGATGATCTTCGGGCATCGACATAAGTCTTTTGGATTGTAGTTTTATGTAGATTGGTCAGCATATCCCGTGTATTGTTGTACATGTTAGATTGAGATTAACCAAAAATGATGTATCATTTCTTGCACTTGTGCTAGATTTCTTAGTTGGTTTTTCCTGTTAATTGTTGCTCAGATTTTCTTGTGTTATTTGTTACTTGATGATAGCATGTTATGTTCTAATTGCCTCAAAATTTCATGTTATACGGAGATTATCTGTTCTTATTTTAACTGATATTTTAAAGGAAAATTGCAAAACTTGTTTATAACAAATGTCTTTCATTTTTTTTTCCAGAAAAGAAAAAAAAAAGAATGAACATATTTACTTTGAGCGTTAAGGTAATTTTTGCTGTTGAGGTTTTTAATGTTATTTTGAAATTTACAAATGACCCTAAAAGAAATAAGTACACAATTTTTTTATGATTTAATCAACAAATGGGTCTTTAGTCATTAGATAATTCATCATCATTGCTAGCCTTATTCCGAGCTTCCAATTATTTGAGTCGGCTTCATGAATCCCCATTTTCTATTTGTTCTTGCTTAGTGATGCCGAAGGAGTTAAATCTATTATTAACAAATTATTTTGAACAACTTGTAGCCATCTAATCATAGGCATATCCCTTCACCTTTCTAATTCTCTAGTAGTAATTTTATCTATTTAACTAATTAGTGCATTCTCTACCCTTTGTTGTATATGTCAAAACTAAGGAGAACTTGTTAAGTTTCTTTTCTTTTATATATTGATGTACACTATTAAATTATTTATTATGCTATTGTTTATCAAATTACAATTGCTGATTGAAGGATAATGAAAAGGTTCCCATTGTCAAACTAAAATTAGGAAAGGTTGAGGCTTGTTGTTTGGTTAATAATTGATTGAAAAATTCTGCTTAGATCTTTGAAATTGCCCCAAATTTGATGTTTGCTAGTATGAGGGCATGTTCTACAAGCTAATCACCACTTCATTCTATTATGGTGAGAAGGAAGGTTTTCCTAGGACGCAATCTTAATATTACATGCTTTAAGTTATCCTGATTTTGGTGAGAAGTGTATGAAGGTCTAACCAAGTAAAAATTAAGACTAAGGGTTCTTTTGGGATGTCTTTCTTACTTCTTTTTAAAGCAGGTTTATAGTACACAAATTTAAAATTTTGTACTAAAAAACTATTTTAAGTAGTAAGAAAGCCATTCCAAATGAAGCCTAAATTTGTTTTATAGAATTCAGAAGTTTATATAAAACTAAAGAATTGGAAGACACAATTATAAGAAAAAGACTAAGTATTATATGCTTGCAAGAAACTAATTAAAAAAAAAACAATTATTTTTTGTTTGAAAGATTAATGATTGGAATGGGAGAGTAGTAGATTATAAATTGTTGAATGATAAAATAACTATGGTGAATAGGATTAATAATATGGTGATTGCAATATGTTTATTATAAATGTAATTAGTACTTCTGCTACTCAAGCTGGATAAAAAAATATTTTGAAAAACCAATTTCAAAAATGATAAATGAATATATATATATATATATATATGAGGAAGAGAGGTTATTTAGTACTGGTGACTTAAATGAATGTACAGCCTCTTGTAGGATGAGCAAATGCTAGGAGAAAATAGATGGCGGGTGCGATAATAGGATATAGAAATTTGCTGGGAGAAGTTAGACTTAATTTATGAGTAATATGTGATCCTGCAATAGCAACCATATATTTGAAAAATGAGCAGTGAATTTAGTTATATTTCAAAGCTGAGTTATCAAATCACAAATATAAAAGAAGATAATTTTTTTTTCAAATACTTTTTGGTGTTTCTAGTAGAAATTTTGACCATACCGCATTGAATAGTAATTATAGGTGTTTATCTTAGAAGTGGAAGGAAATCAATAAAAAGATATGATTGACTTGTGAATTGTGATAAATTTATGAAACTTGAAAGGTGAGCAGTTTTTAATTATTTGAGATATGTTGCTAAGCGATAAAAATTTGAATTTTATGGTTCATCCTAACTTATATGGTAGTAGATTGCTAGTTGAATCAAGAAGATTGTATAAATGTTTAAAAATGCTTAGAAGTAGATCATCCACAAAAGGGGCAGAGACTTGATGGTGGATCAAAATTTGAGGTACAAATTTTTTTTTTTAATTCAAAGAAATATGTACTAAAAGAGTGGCCAAAATTAATACAACTTAGTCTTACAATGATTATAAAGAAGCTAGAAATCTTGAATAGTGGGTAACAAAAAATATTGCTTTAGATTGTTTAAAAAAATAAGATGAAAAAAGACATAAAAATACCTGAGCTAAAATATCGAAGGTCTAAATGTGTTGACCAAGTTAGATGTATTAAAATTAAGGATCATAGAATATATTAGGGAAATATGAAAGAATTATTTGAAGGTATTAAATGAGATTTTTAAAGGCAATTTATTTAGAAGGGCATAAGGAAAAGAACAATGAAATATATTATAAACTGATTGAAAAAAATAAAAGTGGTTGATTTTTGTTTGAAGATGACTTCTAATGGTAAAGTTTTAGGTACAAATGAATACTTAATGAAATTTATAGAGTGGTAAGATATATTAGTACTTTGGTTGGCATGATTTAGAGTGGTATGTAAGGAAAAAGTCATTGATCGTCAAGTGGGGTTGAGATGAGAATATTAAGATGGATATGTGCGAAAACAAAAAAAAAAAAATATTGAAATGTGATTATTTTAGAGGGATTGTAGGAGTAGCACTTGTAGGACTGAAGATGATGAAAATAGACTAACATGCTTTGATGAAGGGTTGAAGATGCACTAGTAAGACAAGATAAGATTAATGCAAACAAATTCAGAATTAAAACCGATAGAACAAAGGTAACATGGCTAGAAGTAAGCAAAAGGATTTGCATTAAATAGAGTTCATATGTCTCATGCAACATTTAATAAAAATAGATAGAGAATTAGGAATGATAAAGTTGACATCAATTAATTGGTGTAAAGCTAATGATGGTGATGCTGATGATTGAAGGAATTTGAGATATCAGGTGATAGGTTCGTTTTAGCTGCAATTTATTCATCAGCTAGAGCCCTTAAACCCTCCCTTATTTTCCTGTAAACCAATGCATTTTCCATTTTTCTACAATATTACCTACAAAACTTGTGATACAATGCTATATGAAATTAAATTTCTCATAAAAAAATGAAGATATTGAGGCGTGCAGGGTACACTTAGGGCAATTTTGTATCTATGATAATGTTTACGTTGACTTCCAGGTTCAACTTCAATTGTAACTTTATTCACTGCGTCTGATGGCCTACTCAACTAGTGGTAATTATATTAGATTGCGGCTATATTTTCTCTGGATTTTAAGCAAATGATCTCATCTAGAGCCAGGCCATGTCATCTTTTGAATGTTCTTTTGTCTTCTCATTACTACTGCTAAAGTAAGGCCTATTAAATTAGACTCCTTGTGCTTTCTATTAACACCCTAGCTTCTCAATTTGTCTCTGTTTAGTTTCATCCTTACCTAAAAATATAATGCCTTTTGATGACTTGGCGGGTTGCTAGTCTCCTATTACACTAGTGAGAACCAAAGTGGAGAAATCAACTACTCATGCTTTAATATTTAAATGTAAATAGATTCATTTACAATATTTCACAAGTTCTTTTATTTTAACCACCCTTGTTCGAATGCTAGAATTGAAAACCTGGAGCTAATGTTAAAGCACGGCACTGATCTCTCCAAACTACACAACAAGGTAATGGAGACCTTTTTGTCCAGGTATAATCTCTTCCTCGCTTTTTTTGTGTGGCTCTTTTGGCACTAAATAATCTGGTTGATATATATATATATATATATATATATATATATATATATATATAGAGAGAGAGAGAGATATTACACTTCTAGTTATTTCACAAATGTAGTGATACCCAATTTATCACTCATAGACAAAATATTTTTGCTTGCAGTGGACTGAACTTGGACGCGCAGATGGAGCTTGCTTAGCAGCTCCCGCTAGGTGATGGGGTAGTTTTCTGGAACCAATTTTAAGCTTTATTTGGGATGGCTTTCTTCTTCCTTCTTAAAGCGGATTTTTGTACTAAAATACCGCTTTAAGAAGCAGGAAGAAAGCCGTCCCAAACGAAGCGTAATTTGGTGCTCAATCTGCTAAACTTACAAGGGCCTTTATGCAGGTGAGTTTCTACTCTACAGAAGATATTGGATGTCTTGTCTTGAAGATTTACGGTAATTAGCCAGTTTTTATGGAGATATTTACATATGATATCTTATCATCATCATCTAACTGTCAGTATCTTGCCAGTTAGCAGTCTTGTTTTCTTCTTATATGTAATTTTAAGCTCTGTGAGGAGGCGCATGTTGATAAGCAGTAGGCTTCTGAAAGCTCTCTAAGTTTTCATATGAGATGTTTAAACCTTTTGTAGACGTTGATATACAACTTGAGAATAACTCGGCGATTTCATCTCATCAGCTTTATGAAAATTTGCTTATTGATCAAATTTAGACTTTGTTTGGGGCCGCTTTCTTAATGCTCTCTAAAATGATTTTCTAGTATAAATATTTTTAGTCAAATTTTTATTTAAAAGTTGTTTTAGAAAACAATAGAAAAGTTGTCCCAAATGTAGCCTTAGCCTTTATTTGTAATGTTGTTTATAAGTACATAAATTTCTTAAAAGTAGGAAAAAAATAGAGGTCTAAAGTTGTCTCAAATAAAACTTTAGCTTTTGTTTGTGATGATTTTTTTACTATTTTATAAAATAATTTTTTTATTAAAAATTTCTTAGAAGTAGTTAAAAATAATGGTTAAAAATTGTTCCAAATAAAATTTTATATGATTTGGAATGCCTCATATTTGGTATCACATCATATATATATATATATATATATATTCTTTGAAATTAATGCTATTGAACTTATAATATGTGATTATAGATGGTTAAGATTTTAAATTGTGGAGGTTTTTAAATGATTTAAAAATAATATATTAATATATGATGATATCTAGCATTTGATAAGTAAAATACATTAGAAAAATTTGATTTTCAAGGTCCTTATATGTTCGAATGTATATGTTTGATTTCACAGATGAATAATTAAATTATTGTAAAAATTGATGACATTCAAAAAACTCTTAAACTAGTACAATCAAAAGAAAGTTATTTTCAACTCTTTTCCATTGCCACTCTTGAATTTATTTTAACTATAGAATTTTATAACTTTGCTGTAGCAATAGCAAGAAATTTCAAGGTACTGGTATTGTATGAACATAGACATATAAATAGTAGATGTAAGATATTATAGATTTTTATATGAAAAAAAAGGAAATATCAAGATGTTTTATTTAATTGAATTTGTTGGCGATTATAAATAATGTTTTTCCCTGTAATGGATAAGATGTTGATATAATATATTATGTTTATTTTTTTTTTTGAAGAAATATTATGTTTAAATTATGCAGAATGAATTTTATGTTGGAAGTTGGCAGAGTCTTCAGGCATTGGGGTTATCTTTAATAGATAGTTTGTTATGTTCATTCATTTTCCTTTTGAGAAGAGGGGATAAAAAATGTAGTCTAACTTTCAGTGCTATTTTTGGGAGTCATTTTTCATGTCAATATTGCCCGCTAGTTTTATGGGTGATGACGAGCTTTAATATTAGTGGTGATGTGGGTGACTAAGTCAATGTATGCTAACATAAATAGCGATTGTGTTTAGAAGATTTCATCCGACAGGAGATAATAGAAGATAATAGTTAAGTGTGCTGCTTATGAGACTTCAGTTGGTTGATAATGGTTGACGAACAATGATTGGGAGACCATAGTTAGGTGGCAATGGTTAAAAGATTGTTTTGCAACAATGATAAAATGATGTAGTTATACGATGATAGTCAGAGGACTGACAATGGTTATCGAAGGATTGGCGATGGTGATATGTAGATCATAGTCTGGTGATGGTGATCGAAGGAGAAGAGCCAAACAAATAGTTAGAGGACCATAATTAGATGATAGTAGTCGAATAATCATAGTTGGGTGGTGGTGGTTAGGTGATTGTAGTTATGTGGGGGTGGTAAGAGGATTGTAATCAAGTGATAAGGGTAAGAGAATTGTAGTAAGGTAACGATAGCTGATTGGTGGTAGTTGAAGGGTAGTACTCTGATGGTTGTGATTGGACAACCTTGATCATATCATGCCCCAAGATCTAGGGAAGAATTGATCCTAGCTAAATCTAGTTCAACTTCAAACTTTAGTTCTACTCGAGCCAAATAATCATCCAATATCCAATATGATAAATAAAAGATACACAAAATCATGTGGTTCATTTCTTTTCAAAACATTTATTTATAATAGTCCAGAAGGAATCTAATACATCAAAACACATTAAATAAATTGGTCTACAAAAGAACACCTTTCTATTACTCTGATATGACCAAAATCAATCCAATCAACTATCTTTTTCTACTTGGTGAGATTCTTTCTTTCTCTTGAAAACATGAACATAAAATTGGAATGAGCAACTTAGCTGCTCTATATCCTTCTTTTCTATGTCCATTATTCAATAAAACAAATGAACAAAGAATATCATTAAAATAGAAAGGTTTGCATTTATCAATTAAACTATTGGGTTATAAAATGTCACTACTTCAGTGTTATTGATGCAAACATGATTTTCATTAATTATTTAAAGCATTCAATTTGCAGCGGTAATAAGTGAATTAAAACATAACATTTACATTGAAATGCATGTACTTGAACTTGCAGATAATACTAGTATAATTTGTCTTTACTTGTACTTGTTAATAACATAACTTGTTCATTTGTATTTGACTTGAATATAACACTTATCATTTAAACTGAACTTAGAAACATAACACTTCATTTTAGTTACATGCACTTAGGCAAGTATAAGTTTATGCACATGTCCCAAATCATGCTTATAACATCACTTTTACTTATACGTACACTTGATCAAATCTCACATCTATATAAGATGGAGACATTCGTGATTCCTCTTATAATTTCACATTCACTTGTAACTCCACTAAGTCATCTTGCTTATGTATAATATATAACAAGGCATACATAAACGTGAATACATATAGGCCTATAAAACATAACTTTTACTTGAACTTAGATTATCTACCCACATAGCATCCTCCATATGCAATGCAATTTCACATGGGCATTTAAAAATGTAGAATTAACTTATAACATATAATTGAGCATATTGAAGTAGCACATGTATCTTAGTTGGCACCATAGAGGTAAAACTTAGACATAATGTACACTAGTGACATGTCAAATAAACGTTCACGAGAGACATTCAGAACAACATTAAGGACTTAAATTTAATTGTGATGCTTTTCAATATAATTAACTTCATTATTACACAACAGCCACACTTCACTTCCGTTAGTTCACAGCCTGCACTCCAACAACCACACTTCACTTCCTTCGCCTTACATTCCCTCTCAATCAGCCTGCAACAAACAACACCTCTAGCTCTTAGACTTCTTATACACAAGTAAGCATTCTCTACACAAGCAAACTTCCTCTTCCCTACCATCTTCCTTCTTCAACTCACCAAACTACCAGCCCTACTTCATTCCCTTTCTTCAAATAGAGAGAGTTTCCTCTTAAAATCTCCCTGTCTCTAACAGAGAGTATTTCCTCTAATCTCTTACCTAATCCATCTCTCTCTATTATTATTCACATCTTTAGTTAAAAAGAAGAAGAAAAGAACCTTCAAAAAGAAAAAAAGAAAAGAAAAAAAGAAACAAAAGAAGAAGAAATAAGAGAAAAAGAGATTTAAGTGTGTTTTGATCCTTCGTTGTTTTGTTGTCACTGTTGCCTCGAGTAGGCATGTATAACATAAAAACTAAAATAAGTACATGTCTACTTCTGATAAGCATGGCGGAGTAAATATCCAATCGAGAAGATCAATCAGATTCATTCTCAAATAATTTTTCACTAGTAAGGACATATCATTTGTCATCAAATCGGTGTCTTGGCCAGATAGCTCCATATGAGCTTTAACTTGGTCAGATGGCTCCATGCAATAAATGATTATGATTGGTCCTCTAATCGATAGTTTAAAGTCAGATGGCTCCACAAATAATCTATGGCTTAGTCATGATTGCTCCACGTGGTAAACGATTATGACTGTGGCTTGGTCAAATTACCCTATTATCTTAAAATCATAGTTAAAAGCCTATAAGCATTCCAATGGCTAGTGATCATTGAGTAATGAATTATATAGTATAATAGATAGATTACAAAACTCTCTGTTAGTTAAGTTTGATTTAAATTCATCCCTAATGCAAATACTCATCCCAAGTCTACAATGTACCCTTGTACAAAGCAACCCATGACTATCGATAAGGATCATTCTATCAGATTGGGTTAACTATCTCCTATGATTAAATAAACTAGGGACCATGATGACCCAGGATGATAGAACTATGAAATCTTGACCGGGTTCATCATCATTGCCCCCATCAACTACTTTAAGTGCAAGGTGGTGAATTTTGAATTTTGAATTTTAAATTTTAAACCTCATCAACTACTTTAAGTGCAAGGTGGTGAATTTTGAATTTTAAATTTTAAATTTTAAACATCTAAATATGTTGTCACTATATGTTGTATACTAAGTATATGTTTAATGACTAACCTTAATTGAAATTGCTCTCTCGTTATCGAGAGGGGTAATTAATAATAGGAGCTTGCATTTATAAGAAACCATAACTTAGATCTTAAAGTTCTCGCTAAAAGGGCAAAATCTCTGGGTAGTGTCTTATCTTTTAACTAATCTGCCTTCCAAAAATTTTCCCCATAATTTCATTCTTTAAAACTTTCCCCAAAATATATACAGAGAGACTAGGGCCCAAAAGCTCAAATTTTCGGAGCCGACATTGATAATGTATAAAATTTTGAGGCTAATTTCATAATGATCTATCATCTTGCTAGAAGAGGACTTCAATAATTTTTAATGATATGTGCTCTCACCAAAAACATTTGATTTTTTCTTTGATGTAGGTAATTTTGGCGCTACCTTCATAAATATGTTCAAGTCAAAATATATTCGTTTGATTGGGCAATAATTCATAAAAAAACAACCTTAAAAAATCTACCATTTTGATGATTGCAAACGTAAAAAATGTCTTGCAATTTTTATGCTTGTGAAAATGAATTAAAATTTATATGGAAACTCCCATTGATGTGTTGGTATTTCACCAAAAAAGATGATTACTATTATTATTATTTTAAATTTTTTCTTAAAAAGTTCTTAAGTGTCTATTGGTAAGTAATTCCTACACTGTATTATCATTGTAGAAAAATTCATTTTTTTCAATCTCATGTAATTTTTTGACTTTAATCTGACACTAATATGCATGTATATTTTAGGTAGCATCAAAGGAGGAACTTGATCCTCAGATCAATATTGATAATGTGAAGCATCGATGTTGGCATTTATGCCATTGAAATAATTTGAGATGAGTTATAGCCACATCAAGAAGTTTCTTTCTTATAAACTACACCAAACTTCAAGGAAAAAAAGATAGCTTGTTAGAAGCTGAGATGGTAGTTTGAAGGCTATACAAGGCTTCATTTAGGACGACTTTCTTACTACTTTTTAAAATAACTTTCTAGTACAAAAATTTGTAATTCAAAAATATATATATATATATATATATTGAACTAAAAAACTGCTTTAAAAAATAATAAAAAAGCTGTCCCAAACAAAACCTAAGACTTATGAAAATATCTAATGATGTTAATAACAAGTGCAGTAATATCATATAGATTCAGTAGTTCTAAATATAACTTTTAAATAAGATTTCTTCTTTGTCTAGTCTTTGAATATACTATTCATTAATATACAAGCTTGAATGGCTTTTACAATCAAGTTATTAAAAGCTATGTTATTAATTGATGAACTCTCAATCTTATTATAAGAGTATTTCAAATTTCTAAGGATATTACTTCCATGGAAGATTAAGGCTTCGTTTGGGATAACTTTCTTACTGCTTCATAAATCAGCTTTTTAGTACAAAATTTAAAATTTTAATACTAGAAAGCTGCTTTAAGAAGCAGAAAAAAACCATCCCAAACAAAACATTTTGATAAATGAAACATTTTGATGTTTATTTCTCTTAGCATAATTTACATTTTAATATAATAGCGATAAGTTTTGTCGATGTTATAATTTGAATCAACCTCCTTATAACGCGGAGAGTTTATTTAAAAATTTTATCTTCCTTAGATTGTTAGAATGGAGTACCGCCCCAAATTTTAACATTTTTTTTTGGAAGATTTTGACATAAATCTACTATAGGAAATCCTTAAAAATTATGGGGCTTCGCCTGATTAAAATGATTCGACTATTATTTGTTATCCATTATAAATAATAATCTTGTAATTGAGTAAGGTATTGATACAATATAATAAATATGAGCTATTTAGAGCAAATTTTAGATGAAAATTGATAGTCTTAAGAACAATTAAGATTTATAACAATATCATAACTTCTGAAAATTCATCAACATACATCATATATAATGCATGAAGGGAAGCCATTAATGAAAGCTTAAAAAATCCATGCGATCAATTTCACAAAATAAAATAAAATAAATGCCATGTTAAAAAGCCATACATTCCCAATATCTAATCTGTTATTTTAAATATTACCACATTTGAAATGAAGAGTGCTCTCTGGTCAAATTTAGCAATTCAGGACCACTCTTGTCTTTTAAAAAAATAAAGGCTTGCTATGATTATGAGAACTGTCAAAGACTATGTTTCATATGGAATTTTTATTCCGTCAGGTTACCTGATGTAGCTCTACGTCAGGTAGCCTATAATATATTGCCACATGCTCTTACTCTTTACCGCGTGGCCCGACAACCCGACCCGGAATGGACCCGGCAGTTTGCGTAGCTCAGTATTGCTAGGTATTGGTTGATTTTGCTCAACAAAAACGAAAAATACCATTATGTGAAAATCAATACCGAGCAATACTGAGCAATACCGAGTTCTTTTAGGTATTACTCGGTATTGCTCGGTATTGGTCTTCACAGAGCTATATTTATCGTTATTGCCAAGTAATACCGAATAATACCTAGCAATACTGAGCCTATACCGAGCAATACGCGAACATAGTAATCGTGGATTCCGGTCCGAGTCGGGTCGTCGGGCCGCGCGATAAAGAGTAAGAACACGTGGCTACATATTATAGGCTACCTGACGTAGAGCTACATCAGGTAACCTGACGGAATAAAAATTCCTTCATTTGGGACAATTTTTTTAGTGCTTTTTTAAAGCAGCTTTTAAGTGCAGAATTTTTTTTTTCAAAAAAATTTTATATTAAAAAACTATTTTATAAAGCATGACGAAAGTTGTCTGAAATGAAACCTATGTTAGATTTAAATTTATTCATGGATGATATCCAATTGTATTAGTAGGTTATTGATAGACAACTTCGGGCTGAATAATTAAATAAAGGGCATTTGCGAGTATGACGAGTCGATTGAAAGTTATAATATCTCAATTATGTCTCTTTAGTTTTGGCATGGATTAAAAGATGATGTGGTTGATGCATAGCCGGTTCAGATTTTATTTGGGATGCTTTTTTACTCCTTAAAATAACTTTTTAGTACAAAAAATAAATTTTTTGTACTAAAAAATTGGTTTAAGAAGCAATAAAAAAGTCATCCCAAATGAAGCCTTAATTTGACCTCTTCCCATGTGGTTACTTGAACAAAATCTGAAGACTGTATAGAGTCTCACCATTTTCTTTTGAAGAATCTACCTTACTGTTGTGAAAACGAGAGTCAAAAGAGGCTTCAGAAATCTTATCATGAGCTCATGAATACACTTTTGATAGGAAGAACTATTGATCTTGCAAATTTCGTTAAGTACTGAGTATTTGATTGGTGATGAACGGGAAATACAAAAATATTAAGAGATCGGATTCCCAAGAGGCCATTCAGAGCTAGTCTGCTTGATGCTGAACAAATTCATAAACCCTGCCTTCCATTAAAGTTTTCAACGCTCGAACCAACTAAAATCGTAAGCAAAACCAGCAAAGTTACTCACCTTGAAAAGCAGTAACTTTTAGTTGAATAGATCTTGTAGATCTACAATATCAGCAAGGACTCCTGCAGCTGTTGTATCATTTCCTGCTCCTGCCCCCTGAATCACCAGAGGAGAGTTCTTGTAACATCTGCTGTATATTTCCACCTGCAATGGCTGAAATGAGTAACATCATAGAAAAAGTGAGCTGAAAACAACCGTAAAACCTGTAAAATCTAGACCTCCACTTGGGGATTTATTATTCTGTGCGGAGTGCGGAGGGCGTCCAGAGATCAATAAAAATGCGCCACATCACCCCATTGCTGGTGCCTAGCTCGGTACCCGCACTCGGTACCTCTAGGTACAGCTGGGTACCTAGTGCTTAACCGGACGGTTCTCCCGTCCGGTGTCCGTACAGAATAAAAGCTCCCACTTGGGAGGTGTAGAGGGACGAAAACATTATTGCTACTGCTCGGATCAGCCCAGTATCAACTCATGCAGTGAGTGTGGGCCAATCTGAAAGAAGAAGCTACTCAGATCAATGTTCAGTTAAAAGGAGATTTTTGAATGAATGGAGGATTCAAAAAGCTGAACATACTATAAGGATGATTGGACGAGGATGTTGATCACGAATGATTGTAAAAAGACATGTCTCTCAAAGGCCAAATAAGACCTAAACTTTCATCTAGATGAGCATCTAAATTTTGAGGTTCATCACTTTGGCCTACGTGCTGTTTGGTTCACAACAAGATATTTTTAAATATAAAAACACAGAATAAAACAGAGTGTTTGATATATAACACTAATAACTAAGGCCTCGTTTGGTTCCCCGGCTCCTTTTTTTTACGTTTTTAAACGAAAATATCAGAACGGAAACAGATAAATTTTTTTCTTCTCAAATCGACGGAAATACAGAGGTTCAAGAGAAGGTATTTAGAAAAATCCGTCTTAACAAACAACAAAATAATAATTTTTTCGCCGATTCAAAATGGAGATGGAAAAATTACGGCCAAACAAATAAGGCCTAAATAACATTGGACCAAACAGCCCCAACATCGAAGTCTTCTCGTGACCTCAATTCCAACAACATCCCGCACAGGAAAGACACTGAATCACATAGATCATAACGTGTTGCCAATCCTTACTTGGTTTCCATACCTTGAGTTTGGCTTGCAGGAGACGTTGGCAAGCTCCTTCCAACATCTATCCAATATTATATTGGGGGCACACAAAGACCATAAATTTATGCAACTAGAACTAAAATATCCAAGTAGCGCATATTTATATGGATCTTAATAACAAAGAAATGAAAACCGAAATGCCCATCTAAACGCTGAGGTAAAATTAGAAAATCACAATGATGAACGATAAAAGATTTAAAACTCAGACACAATGCTTAACTGGACAATTCTCCCATATGGTGTCTATATAGAATAAAAGCTCCCACTTGGGAGGTGTAGAGGGACGAAAACATTATTGCTACTGCTCGGATCAGCCCAGTATCAACTCATACAGTGAGTGTGGGCCAATCTGAAAGAAGAAGCTACTCAGATCAATGTTCACTTAAAAGGAGATTTTTGAATGAATGGAGGTGGATTCAAAAAGCTGAACATACTATAAGGATGGTTGGACGAGGATGTCATTCACGAATGATTGTAAAAAGACATGTCTTACTGAGACCAAATAAGACCTAAACTTTCATCTAAATGAACATCTAAATTTTGTGGTTCATCACTTTGGCCTACGTGCTGTTTGGTTCACAAACATGATATTTTTAAATATAAAAACACAGAATCAAACAGGCAGTGTTTGATATATAACACTAATAACTAAGGTCGCGTTTGGTTCCCCGGCTCTTTTTTTTTTCATTTTTAAACGGAAGTAACGGAACGGGAAACGGATAAATTTTTTTCTTTTCAGATCGGCGGAAATACAGAGGTTCAAGAGAAGGTATTTAAAAAAAGCTGTCTTAACAAACAACAAAACAATAATTTTTTCGACGATTCAAAACGGAGACAGAAAAATTACAGCCAAACAAACGAGGCCTAAATAACATTGGACCAAACAGCCCCAACATGAAAGTCTTCTCGTGACCTCAATACCAACAACATCCCGCACAGGAAAGACACTGAATCACATAGATCATAACGTGTTGCCAATCCCTACTTGGTTTCCATACCTTGACTTTGGCTTGCAGCAGACGTTGGCAAGCTCCTTCAAATTTCTATCCAATATTATGATATTGGTGGCACACAAAGAGCATGAATTTATGCAACTAGAACTAAAATATCCAAGTAGCGCATATTTATATGAATCTTAATAACAAAGAAATGAAAACCGAAATGTCCATCTACACGCTGAGGTAAAATTAGAAAATCACAATGATGAACGATAAAGGAAAACGCATTATACCACGTTGTCACTTCCTCTTAATCTGCCCAACGGACAATCCTTTGGAAGCTCTTGTAGCCCAACTTGGCATCTGCATGGATGTGAAACAAGGGAGAAGTGACCATTAACAAAATGATAAGCATCTTAGATTACGAAATAATTGAATAGTAGTAATCCAAATAATGGTTCAAGCAGTTTTTTAGAAACTCCACTATGGTCTATTTTATAGTTTATTGATCTTCGGTACAGTTCAGCACCAGGTGAACAAAAAGAAGCAGAAAAAAATTAAAGTACTGAAATGGCATTCGAGGAGAAAATAAGTTATGGTCTTTCTGATGCCTCCAAAAGCATCAAAAAGAAGATGAACAATAAGAAAAATGCTGAAAATGGCCATCAAAATAATAGTTTGTAGGCTTCCTACTAAATATGTTTTTGAGCTTATAAAAACCCATGTGTTTGGCATGGAAAAATGGTGTTTAAACGAAATTCATCAGGCTGAAATCTATAGAACGGTTTCAATGAAACTGGAGAGTAAAAACACAGAAAGTTACTGCTAGCTCGAAGTCAAAGGGGGTGAATTATTAACCAAATTTACGGTTGAAAACAAATTAAGGCGAGCTTGAAGGAGTGGTTTGTTGCCTCTGCTGTATAACTCTGAGTTCATAATCTAGAATCCTGAAAATAGCCTCTCTGCAAAGTAGAGGTAAAGTTGCATATATCAACTCTTTCCCTAACCTTGTATTGGTGGGAACTTTAAGGTACACCATTTTTTTTTCTTTTAATTCCTAGGCCAATGTGGTCATCATCATCATCAACAACAACATACGTGAGGTCGGATACATGAATCTTTTTTCTCCATTGTGATATGTTAAGAATCAAATTATCATTTAAATCTAATAAATAAAAATCATTTCTAATATTTTCTAACCAAATCTTTTTAGGCATACCTTTACATTTCTTAACATAAGTCAAATTTTATACATCTACACTCCTAATTGGGTCATCGGACCAAATAATCTAAGGAGGCTCTTTAATCTTATATGCCATTGGAGCTACTCCAACCTTTTCATGTATATGATCGTTTTGTATTCTGTCTCTAAGAGTAAAATCACTCATCCACCTGAGCACCCTCATCTCTGCAACACTTAACCTAATTTTATGCTTATCTTTTAATGGCCAAAATTCTGCACCATAAAACATTATAGGTCTCACCACCATCTCATAAAATTTTTCCTTAAGTTTGAGTGGTACTTTTCTATCACACAAAAGGCCCAATGCATTGCTCCACTTCAACCATCCAATCTGAATTCTACTAATAATATCCCCATATACTTCACCATCACTTTGAGCAATAGACTCCAAATATCTAAAACATGTACTCTTATTAATACTATTATTAATGACTTGATCACCCAAAATTACAATCCCCACACTAGATCTATTACTACTAAAATTATACTCTATGTATTCAGTTTTAGATTTACTCACACGAAAACCTTTTAGACTCTAAGGTTGACCTCTATAATTCAAGTTTACCTTCAACTCCATCTCTAATCTTATCAATAAGAAGAATATCATCAGCAAAAAGCATACACCAGGGTACATCCTCTAGCAAATGTTTAGTAAGAATATCTATGACTAAAGCAAAAAGATATGGACTCAAGGCTGATCCTTGATATAATCCAACTGCAATAGAAAAATATTTGGTCAAACCACCTTGTGTTTGCATACAAGTAACATATTCTACATACATATCCTTAATGACTTGAATATAAACATAATTAAACCCTTTCTTTTTTATAACTCTCCATAACACTTCTATTGGAAATTTATCATATGCTTTCTTTAAATCAACAAATATCATACGTAGATCCTCATTATCTCCATACTACTCCATCAAACCTCTCAATAAATGTATAGCTTCCATAGTAGATCTGCCCGGCACGAATCCAAATTTATTTTGAGAAACATTAGTATCACGTTGTAACCAATGTTCAATAACTCTCTCACCAATGTTCAATAACTCTCTCCCATAGTTTTAAAGATGACACATTGACTTAATTTCTCTATAATTCGCACAATCATGTGCATCACCTTTATTCTTAAAAATAAGAATCAACACACTCCTTTAGTCTTCAAAATAATATTGAAAATTTTTATAAGTTAAGAAATTCCTTTATCTCCTAAGCATTTCCACATCTCTATTGGAATATCATCAGATCCAACAGCTTTTCCATATTTTATTTTCTTCAAAACCTCTCTAACTTTGATTCGATAAAAGAAAAAAACTTTACTTTCATTTACTAACATTTTTAGCTCTTTCACTCTATTGTGCAGAATGTTAGCACTGAGAAACATGAGTTTGGGATTTTTTTTTACCCAAATTTACTTCTTTGAGCTCATCCACAGTAGTATGATCACCCTCTTCAAACTCGTTTGCAACTTCTTTTAGGTCAATATTTAAATCTTCATTCTAATTTTCAGACTCAAGTGTACCCGTATCTTTGTCTGAAATATATAGCCAATGACCCGTGTAGGGTGTGAATATTGAACATGCCCAAGACCCCTAGTTATAAATCTTCCATTTCCAATAGGCGTCTGGGCATGTTTTCTATTCCAAAGGTTTTTGAAATAGCGAGCTTGTTTATTTGTTTGCTCTAAAACAACGTTTCTTTCAATAAGCTTTCTTAGAGAGCGCTGGAAATATTGAGGGATAATTGGCGACATATCTTTGTCTTCCCAATTATCATTTTCCCATTCTAAGTGATTTGACATTCCCTTTGATTTGTAAAAGAGAATCCCACGTTCATTGCGACCCCTCCTTGGGGGGACATAGAAGGTTTTCAACCTTTCTATACTTGTATTTGATGAGGAAGTTAAAGTCTTAACACGTGCAACTGGCATGGGTATCATTTTTATAGTATTTGAAGATACTTGAGAGTCAGATACTCTCATCAACGAGATTGAGATTTTATTTAACTTCTTGATTATTGAGCTGGGTCCCGGATCCCCTTCATTTTGAGGCATCATGGTGCTTTTAGGTTGATTGAGGAATAATTCTTCTTCCACATTTTGTATCACTACTAAGGTGGTAAATAAAACAAGAACACAACATATTTTCATAATAGCCAACATCATAAACATTTTCATACTAAAATGAACAGAGAAATAGAAAACTAAGAAATAAAATAATTAAAACAACAACAATGCACATGATATGCACTTCAAAAGAATAAGTAGTATTAAATTTTCATCAATAAGGCATGTTTAACTAAGGTCATCGCCATAATGATACACTGAAAAGTACCTTGAGCCTTCAATCATACACACATATCGTAGGACATTTCCTTTGGAAGCAGCCACTGCAACTTTCTCTCCAACTTCACTATCAAGCAATGGAAGAACATGGTTGATGAAGTCATCTACAGATATTGATTTAGGTCCCATATTATCAGGGTACAATGAATCCACCTAAAATAAAATACAAAAACACTTTACATTTATTTTCCTATTTGTACCACTCAAGCGTTTTTTCGTTCTTACCCTTGTCAACAGAATACGATATTGCAAAGAAAAGAGACATTTTTTACTGGATTTCATATGTTAGCAAAAATGGTTAGGTTTTGGAACAAGTCGTCTCTTTTACTTTGAGAGAGAGAGAGAGAGAGAGCAGGCAGTGACCTTAATATCTTCCAAGTTTATTCGTTGTCCAAGAAGTCGGGCAAGGATCAATGCCTGCTTTTCACATTAACCGTGAGAACCAATTATAATATATATATATATAGGGACAAATCATAGTGAATGAACAATCAATTTAAGTAAATGCAATGCAAGTCAAACCAATATGTTTAAGGTCATGATTAATGCTTCAATGAACTTTTAAGTTAGATAACACCAAAATAACTCATCAATCCACAACATGACTAATGCATTACACATGAGTGCATAAGCACATCCAGTCTACGCATCTCATATATGTTGAAAATTAAACATTAATTACATAACAGACCTTTCTGGCAACATCCATCCCACCAAGATCATCTCGTGGGTCTGTAACAAGAAAACAACAATTAACACGAAACTTTTGAGTGCTTCATGCAAGAAATGATGTGAATTAAGGAGACATGTTGCTTGCATTGCCTCGAGGAACAAAAATGAAGAAAAATATGTTCAGGTTCATATATTATTATATTAGCCTGAAGAATGTAAATCTTCAAACTTTCACCTCATTAGTAAAGCTTTGGTGAGTGAATAACATTCATTAGAGGACAGCAAATGCATAGAGAAAGCACAAGAAATTATTAAAAGCATAATTTCATTCCTCTTTCTAGTGGGGGCGGGCAGGTTTTTGTAGGACTTAACAGTCAAAATGATGATAAATACTGCAAATCTTAGAACTAACAGCACTATTCTTGATACACAGAACGAAAGTGGCACAGGAAACAAAGAGCATTATTAGTTCTCAATTTATTAACCAAACAGGGTGAAGCTTCAAAAAAAATTCAACTCATTAATGTGTCAGATACGCAACACCCTCCTTCCATTCTATTGTTCTTTTGCTGTACTTTTCAGTTTAGTTTTAAGATTGACTGGATCCCTCATTCAATCATTTGCTAAAATAATACTAAAACTCTGAACCTGAGGAAAAACTTTTGGATACAACACAATGAAGAATGGTTTCTTCTGCCTAAGCTATGAAACATGAACACTTCTATAGGACTGTCATATCACCTGAAACTTCATGCCAAATACATGGATTCCCAGACACTGAGATAGTATCCAACACATTTTGGTACTTCAGATCTTACATCACTAAATGGAATTCCCCTCTTTTAGGAAATTTGTGAAGATTATGTCACCACCATCATCTCATCAGCCTTATCTCAATAGTTTGAAATAGGATTTATTCTTATTGGGCACATTTCGTGTTAAGTACTTCTGTAAAAATTTTTTTGGATAACTTCAAGCATGCTACTTCTAACCTATCTACTTCCTTCATAATCCTTTAGTTATTTTATTATCAGTGTTATTGGTGCACTTCTACAAGTGCATGCTTAAATCATCTAATTTTTTTTTTCAATGCTTCACTTTCTAGATGTGCTATTCACACCATCATTCTAATATATTCATATCTCACTCTAGTTATATTTAAATTTAAAATTAATAATTATATATATATATATATATGAATTTTATTTATTTTTTAATCTCAAAATTCTTAGAATTATAATATTTTTAAGAGTAGATTGTCATCATTATAATGTTAATTTTATTAATTTTTAATAATATTATTATTTATTACATCATCCAGTTCGACTGGACGAATTGTGAACCTCTCTTATATCTGGTTCGTTGTCTTATCCGATTTTCACAACCTTGACAACAACAACATCAAACCTTTATCCCACTGTGGCGTCGACTATATGAATCTATTTTCTTCATTTTGTCATATTAAAAGTTAAATTATCATATAAATCTAATAAAGAAATGTCATTTCTAATATTTCCTAACCAAATCTTTTTTGATCAACCTCTACCTTTTTTAACATAAGTCAAATCTAATACATCTACTTTCCTAACCGGGTCATCGGAAGGCTGCCGTTTTATGTGGACAAACCATCTAAGACAACTATCTCTAATCTTATCTTCCACTGGAGCTACTCCAACCTTTTCACGTCTACGCTCATTTCGTATCCTGTCTCTAAGAGTAAAGTCATTCATCCACCTGAGCATCCTCATCCCTACAACACTTAATATTATGCTTCTCTTTTAATGGCTAACATTATGCACCATAAAGCATTGCAGGTTTAACCACCATCTTATAGAATTTTCCCTTAAGTTTGAGGGGGACTTTTGTTTATCACACAACAAGCCTGATACATTCCCCCACTTCAACCATCCAATTTGAATTCTACTAATATATCCCCATCTATTTTACCATCACTCTGAAAAATAGACCTAAGATATCAAAAACTTGTACTCTTATTAATGACTTGATCACCCATAGTCACAATCCCCTCACTAGATCTATTATTACTAAAATTACACTTCATATATTCAGTTTTAGATCTACTCAAATGAAAACCTTTAGACTCTAGGGTTGACCTCCATAATTCAAGTTTACATTCAATTCTCTCTCTAGTCTTATCAACAAAAAGAATATCATAAGCAAAAAGCATACAGTAGGGTACAACCTCTTGCATATGTCTAGTGAGAACATCCATGAATAAAGCAAAAAGATATGGCCTTAAGGATGATCCTTGATGTAATCCAACTGAAATAGAAAGATACTCGGTCAAACCACCTTGTGTTTGAACACGAGTAACAACTCCTGCATAAATATCCTTAATGACTTGAATATAAGCATTATTAACTCCTTTTTTTTCTAGAACTCTCCATAGCACTTCTCTTGGAATTTTATCATATGCTTTCTCTAAATTAATAAATATCATAGGTAGATCCTCCTTATTCCCTCTCTATTAAATTTCTTTATATATACAAATATAATATAAAATCATTTTTATTAAAATTCATATCCTATTTCTTATCTTGTGATCAAATTTGCTTCCCAATCCTACAAAATTCAGTATCATAGTCCATGCCCTTCTATCTATCCCATCGAGTGCCATCAAGGGAAGATAATTAAAAAGTATATATATTCTAATTTTCCCCGCTCATTTCTCTAAGCTCTTTTGCTTTCTCCCACCTACCCAACTCTCACTCAATGAACACCACTTCTTCCAAGCCTCTGAATCCCTATTCCTTGCTCTCTGATTTTCGATCTCATCTCCTGCTCTCCTCTCACCTAAATGAACCCAGCTACCCATCTCCTCCTACGCCCGTCCTAGCTTCCTTGCTTGAATCTCCTAAGGCCGAAAACCTCCAAACCACTAAGTAGCCCAACTCCTCCCTCTCCTCAATCGAACCCCATACAAGCCTGCAACAGGCTGCCGCCATCTCCTTCTTCCTCCAACAATCACCTGCATCTCCCTCAACCTCATGTGAAACAACCCTGCTTACCACTCCTAATTCCTCACTCCCTCATTGACTGTGATTGCACTTTAGTTTAAACTCCTCACACCCCGTCTCACACTCCTCAACTAGCCTCAACTCCTCAACCTCACAACTGACCAACAAGCCCTATCCAAGGTCGACCACATGTTCTTCCCCTTTAGATTATTGTTGTCTCACAACTGCCTATTCCCTCTCCCTATTCACTCAACTTAACACACCTTTCCTTTTAACTAACAAGTCCATTTTCCCCTAGTCGTTAGCTTACAGCTAGCATATCCCGCAACCAACATATCCTCCCATCATCTCCTCCCAAAGCCTTTCTTGCTCGTCAGCATCACGACCTGGCCCGAATGCTTGACTTAACAAGGTGGGAACTAAAATTCGGACGATATAATTTAATCAGTACATAAGCAATACAACATACAACTTTCGCATTTCAACTGGAGAGCTACTATTATACAAATAGTCCAAAAATCTATTCATTTTACTTTGAAAAAAAAACCCTAAAATTTACATAAGACGATTTACCTGTTTTCATTATGGTGTCGTCTTCGATAAACAAACTCTTCCCTTCCAATCATTTCTCATTCTAAAGATTTTCCTGAAACATTAATTTAATAGGTTGAGTTTATTATATAAACTCATTGGGTAACTCTATAATAATTAACATGTATAAAGTACAATACATATAACCTTTAATATATGTTTATTCATGTAACATTTGATATAAATTTGTTTTCTTCACTTCATTTCATTTATTTATACATATCATATCATGTTCCTTTAAAACATTTATAATACTTTAATATGCATTCTTTCTTCATTTAATTAGTACATGAGCATCGTCTAAATGTACCAAATGTACATCCATTTCCATTCCTTTTTCCTTTTCAAAACTTTTTTCCTTTTTACGTGCATGGATACATTGCTTCCCAACTAGTACCATAAGGGGGTGATCTCCTGTAAATTTTGCATGCTTATTCTTTTCCCTTTTCCCATTTATTTTTTATTTATTATCTTCTAAATACATATAAGTATCATATATATATAATTGCTTTCTAATTTTACTCTCTTTTAATTTATAGGTAGACATTCAATGTGTATTTTCTTTTACATTTCATACACTTGCATATACATTTGTTTGTTTCATATATAATAATTTCCAACATAATTTATTAGTCTTAAAACAATTATATAACATGCTTCTTGCAAAATAAAAACAAAAAATAATATAAAGAGAAAATTCTATAATACCCACTTTAGTTCCTCTTTCAATCTTCATCTTGTATTGAGAACTCACAACAGTTTTCTCTTTCTTCCTTGCAATTTCCTTCCATCTCTATTGAACCATTGAACCGATGCTTACATTTATTGAACCTCTTTATTCCACTTTCGGAAGAAAAATTCTCGAATTCTTTCATCTTTCTTTCTAAATCTCTTTCTTTTTGTTTTCAATCTCTTCTTTTGCCATTAGTTCATTTTCCTCTTCTCTATCGCCTCTCTCAAAAGAAACTTTTCTTCTGCGTTTTCTTTTATAGGAATGGATGAAACTAAATTTTTTTGCACAAGGAGTTGTTTTTCTTCCTTCACGAATGTATTCCTTTGCTTAAAAATGAAAAACGCCTCCGTCTGGAGGTTATCGCACACGAGCGGTTATGCTCCGTTCGCATCCCCCTTTTCGCGGTTATTCTATTCGAGCGGCAAAGGCTGGCCGGTTCGGTTGAATCGGCCCAGCTAAATCGGTTATTATAGTCAGCATCCTCTCTTCCATTCCCAGCCACCAAACCAAGCCTAGATCTGCCCCGACCTCACTCGATCTCAACCATTGCAGCCACCTCCGACTACACCAGCTGCTCCTACATATCTACATCCTTCCCACTCTTCACTCTACCTTGAGTTCTCTCTCTCTAATAATTTCCTCTCTATTATTATTATTATTATTAGTAAAAAAATGAAGAAAGGGAAGCAAAAAAATAAAAACAAAAAGGGGAAATTTAAAAAAAAAATACATTTAAACCTCACTATTCCATCATGTCA